CGTGCCTGGAGTCCCAGCTGCTTGGGAGGCTGAGGCAGGAGGATCACTTGAGCCCAGGAGTGTGAGGTTGCTGTGAGCTAGGCTGATGCCATGGGATTCCAGCCTGGGTGACAGAGTGAGACTCTATGTCAAAAAAAAAAAAAAAAAAAAGAAAAAAGAAAAAAGTAAGGTGCTTGTGCAGTGTGGTGCAATGTCGCACAATGATCATAGTGGTTTTGGGTACGCACAGTCTCAGCGTCATCCTGAGAGGCCCCACTCGTCACCATTACCTTTCCTTCCTTGGTTAGATGAGTACAAGCTGTTTGCTCCCATTTTTCGTTACGTGATTCTATGCAATACTCCCATTTCAAGTACATGTGGGCCCATCTTAAATATAATTTGCTTCCTGTGCACAGTCAAGGGAGTCTAATACTCTCCTTCCAGGGAGACGACTTTAGGCTGCAGCTCTGCTCTGGCACGTCACTGTGGATACAAAGCTATCTCCGCTGAGAGTGCTGCTGATTATTTCGCCTGGACTCCGGTTCCACTGCTCTGTTTGAGACCCACGGGCACACTCAGAATGACGTTGCAGACTATAAACTGACGCCGCGTGTCAGGTTTTTCTGCCCCTGTCTCTGGGCCCTCGGGTTTGGGCTGTTTCCTGACATTATGAATCTGTTTGTATATCTGCTTCCTCTCTCTCCCTCTCAACTTACTCACCAGGGTTTTCTGACTTACTGATTGTTGACTGTCTGTTCATATTCTTTTTTTTTTTTTAATAGAATTAAGATAGTCTTTCCGCTGTTTGGACCTGGCTGAGCATAGCTGCAGCTGAAGAGTGAAAAAAAATTATAAGTCATCCTTCCTTTTTCTTTTGTTTTCTCTGCCCGTACCCAAATGCACGGGCAAGTCCCACGTCTCTGCCTTCAACATTTATCCTCAGATTGTCCCCCACCATCAACACTGGTGTCCTTTTAGAACGCCTTTCTCCTGGGCCCATGCAGAAGGCCCTTCTCTGCTGTCCCAGTTTACATTCTTTCCCACCTTTTGAACATTTTCCATACAGAATCTAGAATGTTCTTGGAAAAATGTCATCAGATCATGTCGTTCCCCCGGCTGAAACCCTTCCAGCGGTTTCCCCCTTGCGTTGACACCAAATGTGAAGTCTGAGCAGGACTCACAGTGACCTACTTGGTCTGGGGCCACTTCTTTATTCTCACCCACCGCCCAACCCTCTTCCTGCTGTATTTTCCTTGCAGCACTTGTCACTACCTGGAATTATTTATTTTCCTTGTTTACTGTCTGATCTATTGCCAGGCCTCACCCTCTCACTGCCACTCCTGTATAGCAAGGCGCCAAGGGGAAGGAAGTTTAGCTTGTTCTTTGCCCTATACCCAGCGCCCGAGATATGTGTCCAGCACGTGGGGGTGTGTGATCAATGTTTTAGAATGAGCGGAGGCATAAACTGCTTCTTTATGTGGGAATCTAATGCTATGCCAGATAGTCTTCCTATATCAAGCATTTCCATAGCTTTGGCTTTTAATTTACATATATAGGGACTTCTTTTGAATACTGGCTTGGCTACAGGAATGGAGTCTTCAGTTTAGTAAAAATCAGCCATATTATTATATATTTTCTAGAATTTCATGCAGTGTACTCTGGAATGATTCTATGAACTAAATGTAAAGTTGGAGGCAGGGGTTGGGGAGAGACATGTGATAATGTTCTTTTTCTTGTAACCCTGTCATAGTGGTGTCTTTATTTCTCTATGACCTCTGCCTTCCACATCTAGGGGTTAGGGGCAGTGGCCAGCAATACAATGCAACCAGCACTGTCTCCTCAGGTAGCCTCTTAACTACCACGCATGAGCAGTAGCTCTTTCCCACCCATCAGGCAAACCTATCCTTGCAGTGGCAATTTCTGGTAGATTTTATGAAATCTGAGTGCTACGGGCTAACTCTTTAGCTTGGTAGTATTTTTTTTCTCAGTTTCCTGACCCCCCATCACATGAAGAGGTTCATTCCCTTTACAAAGTTCATGTTGCCTAACCAGTTTATGTGTTTGAAACATTTTTGGTCTCAGCCCAAATTGATCCAAATCGGGTCTCAAAATGCCCTAATGAGTTTTAAAGCAGTTTGAAAGTTAGAAATGAAAAGGAAGAGAGAGATAAAGTGAAGAGTTGGGGGCATTAAGAAACTGGAAAAGCTGACTGCTTCTAGATCTAAATGAGAAGAGATAAAACTGGAAAAGGCTTTGAGCAACAAGGCCCCCTAAAAATGTTTAGTTATAGAAAATTAGCTGAGTGGAAACAAACAAGAACAAGAATGTGGCCTTCTCATCTGTTGTTTCAGATAATTGCAAGGTTGCCACTCAGTGGAGGGAGGAGGCCTGGAGGAAGAGAAAACAAAGCATCAAGGTTGGCTTCAAAATGCTTTTTGGGAAGCACTTTGCCTGTGTACTGAAACGTGGAACTTTATGGAAGCAAATAGAACCGAACTCTATTACGTTTTTGAAGGAGGTAAATTGCTCAGAAACTATGAACTTGAATCAAAAAGCTTTTGACTGTCAAGAACTAAAACTAATTTCAGGCTAGCATTCTTGCACCCATAGTAGACTGGCTATAAAAGCTGGGTAATCCCCAAAGAGCGCATACTCCCCAAGACCTACTGTAGATATGGCCTTGGTGGATAATGGAAAAGGGAGACCTTCCAAAAGGGAAAGGTCAGAGGTCACAGAGAACAATGCCAGGGGAGCTTTCCCCAGAAAGCAGCATGGGAGTCTAACATACAAGAACTTGCGAGGCCTTCATAATGCTCCCCCAGCAGGATTTCAGAATTGCCATGGACCATGGCAGCTGTGTGTGTTTTCCTGCTTTCCAAACAAGGGTTTTAATTTGCTGTTACTCTGTCCCTGTGCCACCATTGTGCATTGCGTGTGTGTAGAGTAGGGGTTGGGTGGGAGTCAGGTAGCTTTCTTTTTTAGTTCACAGGCCACTGGACCACCAGGAGACCTGATGGAGAGTCCTGGATCCTTGGTGACCTTGAGCTTTGAGCTGGATGTGGTGACAAGGTAGGATAAGTGTGGAGGAAGAGTGAAACAGGCATTTGGTGACTAGTAGACCAGATTGTGTTAGAGACTGTTTCCTTTGCCTTCTAGGTGCACAGCTAGTTGACTCCCTTGGTGTTAAATGGAGTCTTGGGACTGAGTTTTGGCAAAGGAAATATGGCTGGAATCGATGCACAATACCTCTCGCTTTGAACCCTCCAAATCTCCCTTGAGATCCTCCATACTGCAGAAAACTCAGTGGAGGGTTCCGTGGTCTCAGGGATGGTAGAGCCAATCCATGGAAGGACCCTGGGTCCCTGAATAACTGTGTGGAGCAGAGCTTCTGCTTTGCATTGAGATGGGACATGAGTAGGAAATGAGTCTTTATGGTGTCAAATAACCCATAGACAAATCTGTACTCTGTTTAGATTTTGGAATCAACTATTATCACAATTAGCCTACCTTGCAGTCATCAAAGCTATGTGCATTGAAATGTATAAGGCATGTGTTGGTTTTACCTATTACCCTCCAATTTTCTTTTACCAAGTAATTGTAGAGGACCTCTGTCTGTGTCTAAAAGTTTACTTCCAATTGAGAATGGATTTTCTTTTTTGTTCCATGTTGTTCTTGTTCCCTGAAGTTAGCCAGTCACCAGGTATTACTGAGTATCTGTTACTTACTAGCTATGTGACCTTAGGCACATAGTAACCTGTCTGTGCCTCAGTTCCCTCATCTGTAATATGGGGACAATAATAGTTTTTGTGAAAATTAAGTAAGTTAATCCAGATATAGTGCTTAGCACAGCAGCTGGCACATATTAAGTGCTCATAAATGTTATATAATCATCACCATCATCTCCATTATCATCACCATCATCATCATCATCATCATCATCATCATTAGTTGCTAGGTATACGCTTGGCACCAGGGACAGCATTGAATGAGATATGCAAGGTCTGGTCTTCTGTGAGATCTCTGCTTATTTCAGGAGCCTTATTTTTGATTTTGTACTTGTTCAGTATGGTCTCTATTAAATACTTAATTTGAAGAGAAGGGTTTCGCCTCCCTTTAATCTACTCCAGAAAACACTGATTACAGCTGGGGATGTTCTCTGTCTATCTGAGTGTTCTGAGTCAGTGTCTGTGTTCCCTTGGTGGCTTTGCTCAGCGAGTGCCGCATTTGTCTGTGTTCTGTGGCAATTGCAGTGGGAAGAACAGAGGGAGGTTAAAATCCCTGTTGGTGGAAGGAACAACTTCCTGCTTACAGCCACTGCCTGCTTAGAGTGCTGGGATAAAAGCAGCTGCCATTTTGCGTACAGAAGTGCACTTTCCTCCTCTTTTTGTCCCTGTTCCCAAGGTATGCGGCCTAAGCATCTCACTTCCGACTGCGTATAGGCAACACTTGCAAGACCCAGGAGGTTTGGAGTCCTTGCCCTTCTTCACTAACCTATGACAACAGAGACTGGACTTGTACCAGCGACGGCCTCACCCATCTGCCGCACCAAGCACCTGGTGCCTGGTTTACCTGCATGCCTGAGTCAGTGCCCTTTTGCCCATCTCCCCGGCACACGCTCTTCAGCGATGCTAGCTAGGCAGGCACACCCACTTGCCTTGGCATGTTTTATGGATGGCCCAAGCTGCAAACATCAACATACGTAAGACATATGCTCTCTTCTTTGTGTAATTTCAGGCACCAAAATATGCCTACACACAGGGGTATGTGCATACAGACGCACGCGTATTCTTTTTTTGCCTGGTAGAAATATGCTTCTGCGACATTCCTTCTACTCCCACACATGCCCCTCCATGGCTGGCACATTTCCTAATTATTCCCATCCACTCCCTCCCCATAGACCTTTTGTGTGTATATTTTGGCACACATTCTTTTGGTTCTGTCTCGTTCCTTTCTGTCTCTCTTTATTTCTCTGCCCCCCCCCCATCCCTCTCCCTCCTCTTCACAACTCTTTAGAGAATTTGTTAAACTATACACTCTTTATTATTCATGTACATTTATGAAAAAATTTTTCATGGTTACAAAAGTGCATGGTTATAAAATCATCTCCATACAAAGGTTGGCATCTTCCCTTTCATCCCGGGCCCTCCCTAACCCTCCCATCCCCAGACATTAGCACTCTGCAGGACAGCTCTTGGGAAAGCTCAGATCTCTGTGGATCCAGCTCTCTACCCAGTGCTGTGGCAAACACGGAATGACTCACAAAGGACCTTGTGACGTGCCTCCTTCATGTCCCTTTTGCCTCCTCCTGGGCTGGGGATGAGCAGACGAGCTTCTTTAGCTTTGGAAAGATGTCCTTTTGAAAAATGGATGAAGGTATCCCCTTACGTTCTTCTACCGCTGGAAAAGATGTCAGCAAAGGCATCTATGGGAACACGGGACTACAGGTCCTTCCTGATAGTCGCAGAGGAACACCTGTCTTGACCTGTTCACGTTTCATACGTGTAGCTCCTTGAAAGGAGCCATGAACCTTCATAGCAACTCTGGGTACCTGTTTCTGCATGTTTCCCTGGGCATCCCCGTAGCAGAAATAGAGACGAGGGTTTGTCTGAGGGTGACTAGGGGCAACTGGCCTAGATGGGTGTGGTTAAGATAGGGGGGCTTTTCTATGGAAGGATTCTCTTGGCCCAAACCTTACCGTTAGAGTCCCGTTGGTTAGCTAAACTGTGATGTCCTCGGGACTATGCAAAGGAAGCTTCTGCAACCAGGACACGTCTCTGAAGGGCAGGAGAGGACAGAGGTAGGCAAGCAGAAGTCAGGTTCTCATCAGAATGCCTCTGCCACTAATTTTTCCCTTTTTATATTCTCTGAGCAGCCAGCCCCACCCTAAACTAAGGTGGGTTCCCATCTTAGTCTATCAAATGATATAGTAGCCAGTGGACTACATGGCTGAGTAGACTGTGTCAGAGAACTCTCATTCCAGAGAGATCTTCCTCATGTTGGCAGATAACCAACCTAAAAGGATGCTCACACATAGACATACAGATGCAGAGATACCGCATCACATATGTGTTAACCAGTGTAACATAAACCGAACGCAGCCTTGTGGGAACAGCGCAATGGCTTTGCAGTCACCAGGGATGAAGGAGCCAATCCAACCCGGATTGCTAGTCTACCTCTAGACGTTTGCTTCTGATAGCCTAACAAGGCGGTGGAGGTGGTGGGAGAAGCAGGGAATTCCTTGGCAGTAGGGACTTTAAATAGTTTCCTCATTGTGCTCTAGTTAACTGAGGACCTTCTAGCAGCTGGAGAAAGATCCATCCCTTAAAAGCCATGTATCCTGCTCAGAAAGATTTGCCAACAATGGAGCCCCAACTGTCCCGCTAGAAAGGACATTTGATCTCAAGGGGCATTAAGTGTCTCATCTGGTTCTAGTCCTATGCAATAAAAAGTACGTATCTTAAAATATATTAACTATATTTCAGTAAACAGTAGTCCCTAGGAGATTATTATAGATGACTATGGTGTCCCTCTATGGGAAGCTTTGCTATTTCCTATTTTGTCAGGACTATTAATTCTAAAAGCTCCTCTCCAGGTATCTCAGCTGTCAGCTTGGCTGGTGGAGAACGGCTTGAGTCCACCACCCTGGGCTGTGGCAGAAGAGAGCAGGGTGCCGTTCTGCTCTGGGTGTCACGGGGCAAGGCTCTGGCCCAGATGTTGTAAGCAAGATTCAGGGGACACAAGGTTCAAGTCTAGACCTCAGGTCTAGCAACGTTTCTGAAGGCTCTTTTGGTTGACTAGCGTAGGGAAGCAGGAGCGAGGGGGGACTTCTTGGAAGCTGACGTGTTGTCCTCCTCCACGCCTTTCAGGCCTGCCAGAATACTGCTGGCACTGGGGACACGGTAGAAAGCCCCTGCTTTAATCCTCCTCCTGGCCAGCCTTGCCAGTGCGTTGGACTGCACCTTGATGTTCTTCCCCTACGCTGCAGGGTTCTCTGCTTTCTTGCTCCCTTGGTATCTCTTGCAACACAACATAGCAGGGACCGAGTAGGAGTGGTTAATACTGCTTCTTCTTCTACTTCCCCCCCATTTTTTTTTTTTTTTGCATGATTGCCTGATGACCACCAGTTGTAATGCTTTATCTACACACTGTAAAGCAGGTATCTCCTGTTCAGATGGTACCTGTGTGGCCTCTGTTTCAGAGCCTGTGGCTTGCTCTACCTGCCATGAGCGTAGCTAAATCTGTACAGCAGCCGGGTTTGGCTGGCCTATATTTAGCTGACCTCCCAGCACGTTCATGGCTGCTGAATTCTGGGGCCCTGCCACCCAGCCCTCCAAGACATTTTCTTCCCCAGGCACCCGGGAAAGCACTGGAAAGAGAACCATGTTGGAGTTGAGTCCCAACCTTGCCACGTAGGCAGGTCGTACCCAATCCTGAGCCTCTATTTTCCCATCTGTAAGATGGGATTACAGCTGTTTGGTCTGCCTCCCACACAGGATTGTAAAAGTCAAGGCGAATGATGCAAAAGAACTTCACGAACTATCCAATGTCGAACGAATACAGAGAAGATAACCATGACACCAATGACACCGACAATGAAGGTGAAGATGATGACAACGATGGTGGTAATTGTGCTTTGCACATAAAGTTACTTGAGTTTTGACTGACTGATTAGACGCAGTTTCCCTGATTGGAGCCACCTATCCCCTTCCTTCTGGGGTTTAACCGTAAAACCTTGGGTACGTCACTCAACTCTCTACGATTAATTCATCTGTAAAATGGGCACAATAAAAACCACCAGGCAGTGTTGCTGTGAGAACTGCAATAAATGAGTCAATAGATATAAAAGTGCCCAGAGGAGTGCCTGGCCCTTGTTAGGAACTTCTACAGCACTACTTGAAGTGGAATGTATGGAACTTGAGAGGGAATTGTGATGCTCCCCAACTTGCATGGGGCAGTGGAAAGAGCACAGACTTTATCTTGCTCATTAAGTGGCGCATGACTTCAACCTCTCTGAGCCTTAATTGCCCTATCTGTAAAATGGGAACAATGTTCGCCTGGAAAGACTGTTGTGTGTGTTAAAGGGAATTGTCTGTGGAGAGAGCTTCTCACGGTGCCTGACACCGGTGAGTGTTCAGTAATGAACAGCTCTCTCACCCTTATGCTTAAATGGGTGAGTTGCTTAGAAGAACATGCAAATGCTCCTACTGTCATGGCTGCGGTGGCTTTGTCCTCCTGCAGCCCTGGGTACTGCCAGGCTATGGGTCTGGGGCTCACAGTGTACTTTCCTGGTGAGATCCTTTGGCGTGAGCACCGTGGCAGGAACAATCACCTGATTGGGGTCCCAGGGGGGCAGGACTCTTGCTGTGACGGTTGCTGGGCCTCCTGCCTCTCGCCGCCGAAGCCACGGCTTGAGCGAGAGACAGGAGAAAGGGCACTGAAGGTGTCCGTCCTCAGCCTGCTGCCTGGGACCTCAGCAGCAGGCCACAGCTGGCGTTGCTGCATGGGGCAGCCACAGGGAGCTGGTCTCACCCAGTAGCTGCTGGTGGAAGGAGCCACGGGTGCTGGCGTGGAGGCGTCCTCACTTCCTGGAGGCAGTGCTGGGGGATGCCAGTTTGGGTGTCAAGTTTTGGTTCTCTGACACACTCCCTCTGTGCACCTCAGTGACAAGGAATTGTTTGCTGTTCTCAACACACCATGCGTATCCTGTCCCTGTCATTTGCGGACGTCCTTCTTTGTCTAGTTGACAAAGTAGACACTTTTTGATGACCCAGCTCTCAAATCAGTCCACTCCTGCAGTTCTCTTGGCTTTGCTAGCCACGGCCGATGGCCACCTCTTTGGGCCCACACAGCTGTGTGCTCAGAGTCCTGACATATCGTCTCAAGGGGAACAGTTTTTGGGTCTCTCTCTCGTCTACCAGGGGTGACAGCCTCGAGGGCCAGGACAGGTCGATTCCTCTGACACTCCCAGTGCTGTCTGACACTCACGGTGCCTGGCTCAAAGCAGACGTTCACACGAGGTTCCTTTCCGGACCTTGCTCGGGCCACAACCGAGGCAGCCAGGGCACCGTGGACGCAGAGCGGGCAGCCAGGGAAGGGTCTGGCGGTCGGCGGCAGTGGCGTGGGCGGCACGGAGGGACGGGAGGCGGCCGTGTCAGATCTCTTCCTCCTCGCTGGCCTTGCTCCAGCGGTGGCAGCAGTTGGCTGTGATGCCCAGTAGGAAGTTGGTGGCCACGGAGGCGATGGAGACCACGAAGCCCACGAACGCGATGAAGAGGTAATCGTCCAGGCTCAGGGTCAGGTGGCAGGCCTTGAAGCTCTCCTCGGTGAGCGAGAAGAGTGGGGCGCCCTCCACTTCGGGGGGGCCCCGGCACTCAGCCAGCTGAGAGTCTGCAACACAGAAGCCAGGCAGGGTGAGGCGCCGGGGGAGAGGGAAGGGGTCAGGGAGCTCCCCACCCCTCCCTGGGAGAAGGAAGAAAGACATTCACGGAACTTCTTTCACGTGCCAAAAATTTTACTTATCTTCTTCAGTCCCCTCAGCAGCCCCGAAGGCGAGGATTTTTATACTTATTTTTACAGATGTGAAAATCACTGCTTAAAGAGTTTAGCAATCTGTCAGAAGCCCTACAGCTACTACCAGTGTAGATCTGGGGTTCCGTGGGACACCACCGAAAACCCTTGCGGTCATCTCCCTACTGGTCTCTGGCTTCTGCCTTAAACGGTTTCAACACGGTCAGCCCAGCGAGTCTTTCAAACCTCAAGTCCTGTCACCTCTCGTCACTGTGCCTGAAACCCTCCCCTGGCTTCACGCCTCTGCACGGAGCAGAAGCCAAGTCCTTGCTGCCCTGAGCTCCAACGGTGCTTTCCCACCTCTCCACCCTGCTCCAGACACATGTGCCCCCCGGTCATTCTTCCACCACCCCGAGCGTGTCCCCTGTCGAGGTGGGCAACAGGTGCTTTCGCACTTGTTCCCTTGTCAGGGAGCTTCTCTCCCAAATCTCTGCACTGCTCGGTCCCCGCTTCCTTTGGGACTCCGCTCACCACCACCTTATGGGGGAGGCCTTCTCTATGCCTCGGTATAAAATCGCACCCCACGCACCTTGCCCCAGCTCCCATCTCACCCATGCGGTATTGATCATTGTTGACAATTTGTTTGTTTATTGTCTATTGGTGTCCTTAGCAACAGAACAGTGTCCTGTCCACAGTGAGCGCTCGGTGAATCTTTGTTGAATGAGTGCGGGACGCTGTCCAGCCCCGAAGTGTTGGGTCTTTCTACCGCCTGCGTGGCTTTTCCAGACACACAGAATACAGGGTCAAGAGTACGGGCTCTGGAACTTCAGCCTGCACTCAAGTCCCCTCTTCACCTGTCACTAGCTGCGACGATGGGCACATTATTTAACCCCTCTGTGTGCTGATTTCTTCATCTGTCAAATGAGGATAATAATAGTATCGACCTCATAAGGTTGTATGGAGAATTCAGCGAGTTAACAAACGTACATTGTATGTTCCTGGTATGTACTAAGCAGTCTGCAAGCGTGAGCTTTTATTATTATTGTTCATTGGCTTCTCTAGACAGGGCATTTGGGGGCAATCCTGCACTCAGGCTTCTGTAGGAGCGGGCTGGCCCCCTGGTGGGTTCCTGCTCTCCCCAGCATCTCACGAGGGGCACTTTCAAAAATGCAGGTGGTTGCCAACGGTCTCATCTCTCTCTGCCTGGGAAGGAAGAGCAGCAAGTGGCGGTTTTGCCACGCAGGGTGGAGCATGGGCTTTTGAGCAGCGAGTGTCTTCTTCATTTAGTGGATAAATAATAATCAAGCTCTTATGTTGGGCGGGTCTTTTTTTTTTTTTTTTCTGCCTTTCTGGCTCTCCTGTTCTGCCTCTATAAGAAGGGGATAATCCAACCTAAATTGTCTAAGAGAGTCAATGTGAAGAAGTTTTCTAAATCATGGGGTGTTTAAATGCCATGCATTCATTCTGTAGTTTTCGAGGGCAAAGAGTCCAATGATGGGTTTGGATTGACCCTTTTGAGAAATGGCTGAACACCATTATCCTTGGGAATGGGGAGGTGGTGTGGGAGGGAGGGTGCCACCTCCCCCCAGTGCCAGGCTGAGAGGTCCCTGCAGGCTGTGAGCACAGGGCCCCAGACCCTGCCCGGGCAGGGATCAGGTCTGGGGCTGACCCTGGTGAGCTCCCCTCCGGGAACTGGAAGACGCCGAACTCCAAAGTCTACTGTGCATGTGAGAGGGGTAGTGGTGCTGTAGTGAGAGATGGGGAACTGGGGACGTGGGGACACTCATGCGGACCTGCCAGAGCAGCCCCAGAGGGCAATCAGCTGGGCCGCACAGGGGCCACAGCGGAACCAGGGTGACATAACTCACTGGGAAGTCCTGGCACCAGTCCTGAAGCCATGTTGTATTCCAAGGGCTTGCTTAGGTCCCTCTTTGTTTAAATTTTTCCAAAAACCATGGGTAATAGTGAGAATCCCACTAAGAAAAAGGGAGGAAGTGGAGGAAAAAGGCCTAAAGGGAAGTGCATGACCTAGTCCTGCCTGTCCTGGGCAGGTTCGTCTGCAGCAGGAAGCACGCTGGTGAGTGTGGCATGGAGTCAGGTGTGTGTGTGGAGGAGCAGGGACCTGGATTCCAGCTGTGGCCTGCCCGCTCTCTCACTGTGGGCCCGTGGACAGCCACTGTCCCTCTTTGGACAGGTGTCTCACCTGTACCGATGTGTGCGGTTGCACTGACAGGATCTTGGGCCCTTCTCCTGCTCGATGGGAGTCTGGGCTGCTCTGCAGGGCAGCAGGGACCTCAAAGGTCCCCGGCTGCGATGGCAGCTCAGGGCCCGGAGTGCCCTTTCTGTCATGGGTGCACGGGAGAGGGAGGGAAGGTGCGGCCTGCAGAGGTTGGGCAGGCGGAGAGATGGCTCCAGGCAGCCTCCCCCTCAGGCTCCCCCATCGCCCCATCTCAGTCCCCAGCTATTTTGGTCCCAGAGAGCTTCCTCCCACAGCTCTGTGGAAACACTGGAATCGTGACCCACAGCCCCCCCAAACTATTCTGGTCTCGGGCTCCCCACTCAGCCCCCTGCTCCCTGCTGCCTCACTCAGCACTGCTCCTTCTCAGCATTGGCCGAGCCCAGGCGCTGGGAAAGCCCCTGGGCGGCACCCCCGGCTGTGCCGCTGCTGGCACCAGTGCCCAGGCCCAGAGCTGTCACACAGGAGACCCAGGGACAGGGGCCACAGCTGAGCGTCACCGGCCTCTGAGCCAGGCTGGGACACCACTGGGCGGGGCCGAAGCCTATCAGACCTGTGTGATTTCGGCTCCCTCAGGCCCTGGCCCACCCTCCAGCTGCGGTTGGCCCATCAAGTTGCTGCGTCTCCATCCTCTCAGCTCCTCACCGTGTACCCAGACTTTGCAGGACTCTGCTGAACCTCTTTGGCTGGCCCAGAACAGTAGCTGACTTTCCAGGATACAGCTGAAGGACAGGCAGACCGCCAGGGCTGGAACCCTGACTCCACCACTTAGCAGCTGTGTGACTTTGGGCAAGGTACTGAGCCTCCTTGTGTCTCAGTTTCCCCTTCTGTAGAGTGGAGACCTCATCAGGACTCTTGTGAGGGTAAGATAAAATACGGAATGTGGAACAGTGCCTGGCGTAGCGTAAGTACTAACGTAGTGTTAGCTATTACTGTGTATACGAGTTTCCCACACTTAGAACACTTACAAAGCCATCTGGCAGAGTAGCACAGGTCTTAGACGTCAAATAAACCTGAGTTTTATCCATGACCCTGCCACTTTCTGAGTAACTCCGGGCAAATCTTTGCATTGCTCTAAATCTCAGTTTCCTCTCCTGTAAAATGGGGATAATAAAAACGGGGCATCATAAACAATGCGTGGCAAGTTCTTAGGTCATGGTGAAAGTGCCATGAACTCCATGTACGATTAGTATTCTCACTTGTTAACTATCCGCCTGCCTCATTCAGTTATAAGCACCGCAGGGGCTTCTGTTTCATGAACGAATGGGCCCCCAGGGCCTCGCATGCATCGCAAGGATTCGACAAATACTTGTTGACCGAAAAAGCTGGTGTACAAAGAAGCAAGCTGCTAAATCCCCCCTGTTCTTTGAAGACTTTGCTTTTGGCAAGTCGAGCCCCCCCATCCGCCCTGCCAGCTGCCCACTCCTGCCCCTGCCTTACCCGCTGTGCAGCGCTGGATCCGGTTCCGCAGCCACTTCAGCAGGGGCTCCATGGTGCAGCCGCACACCCAGGGGTTGCCGCCGATCTGCAGGGTCACCAGCCCTGGCAGGCCCTCGAGGGCCTCAAGGCTGAGGAAGGCCAGGCCCCCGAAGCTGAGGTCCAGGTCACGGAGCTGCACGAGGCCCTGGAAGGCCTGGGGGTGCACCCTCCGCAGCCATGGGTTGTGGCTCAGGTCGATGTGCACCAGCCCGTGGGCCTCCTGGAACATGTCGGCCGGCACGTGGCTGAGGTTGTTGTAGCTCAGATCCAGGTGTGCCAAGCGCTTGGCATGGAGGAAGAGGCCCGGGGGCAGCTCCGTCAAGGAGTTGTTGCGCAGATCCAGCACCCGGAGCTCCATGTAGCACGTGAGGTAGCCAGGAGGCACGGCCGCGATGCGGTTGTGGGCCAGGCTGAGGTTCCGGGTGTCCATCGGCAGGTCTGGGGGCACAGAGAACAGCCGCTGGCTACTGCAGTCCACCACCTGGTTACGGCATGTGCAAAGGACCGGGCAGCTGGTGCCGGCATCCGAGGGCATCACCCCGGCCGCCAAGAGGAGGGAGATCAGCAGCACGGCTGGGTGGGGAGGCCCCGGCCAGGGAAGCTGTGCCCAGGTGTCACCCATCTTAGGCAGCTGGCAGCAGCAGTGCTGAAGGGAGCCCATGGGGCCTGTGTTTGTGGAATCGACAGCCAGCGACACAGGAAGGCAGCTACATCAGGGGCCAGAGCCCTTGAAGGTGGGGCTTCCGAGCACGTGGTGTCATGGCTCAAGCCCTTCCCGGAGCCTCTTAGCACCAAAGGGCTTCCTGAGATCCGCAGGAAGTCCACCTCTGGAGCCTAGGGGGCGAGAAACCCAGCTGAGGTCCCCCAGGGTCTGAAATGATGATCAAAACTTGAGAAAGGAAGGGGACAAGGATGGGGCTGGACCAACTGCAGGCAGGCCCTGGAAGGGTTCCTGCAGATCTTTTGTGTCCTTCTCATCCATGCCTGCTGGGTGCTTCCTCTCGGTGCTGTGTCTGAGAGGTGGGAGGGAGGTGCTGAAGGAGATGAAAGGTGCCCTTTAAAGGTCCTGGCACTTCTTCTAAGAAAACGTAAGCCCTGCCCCAAGTCTGGGGCTGATTAGCAAGCCAGGGCTGCACCTGGGTCTCCAGCATTCAAGGTCTCAGAGGCCATTTCTCCTGGTGGCCCAGTGGGCTTGAGTCCAAGGGGGTCCAGGAGTGGGTGTTTTGGGAAGGCAGCCCGGGAGGAAGTGAGTCTCCATGAGCCTCCTGAAAGCCTGGGGGTCTTCAGCCTCAGCAGCTGCTGGAATCTCCAGGGGGACTCTTGGTTCTCCAGGGAGAGGAAGATCCCAAGTGGCACCTGCTGTCTGGGCCTCCGAGGCTGGGCACAGCCATGAGTCCTGAGGTGCAGGCTGGGGGTCAGCTGGAGGAGCTCTGGCTACTTCTCCCAGCCAGCACCTGCTTCACACAGCTCTGCATTCAGCAGGTGGAGGCTGCTCGCTCTGTCAACAAGGAAAGCACTCAGGCAGAGAAACCGGTGCTACACCCTGGTCCCTAACCCAGGTCCCCTGTCCAACTTCTCTCTCTTGCTTTCTCTCTCCCTCCTCCCTTCTTTGCCCCCCAACCACAAAGCTCTCTGCTTGCTGTCCCCCAGGTGTGGGCAACGGTGGGCTCAGACCTCAGCCTCACAATATTGTCACCCGCTGAACCTCCCCTGCCCAGCCTGTAGCCATCCTCCTTCCCGGTTTCTGTCCTGGGCTAGATGCATTTTCTTTTTCTCCACAAAGCCCCGCCCCACCATCAGCACCAAACAGCTGAACCCCCTTGAACAACTCCCCGAGGAAAACCCGCATCCATACTCTGGCCGCTTGCACACCCCTTCCAAACAGTCTCAGCACTCCTGTCTCTCTCTCTCTCACACATACACACACATCCCTATTCTTCCGTGGCTCCCCCATATTTTGCCCTGCCCTGGCGCACCTCCCCAGCTCTCTCTGCAGCTCCCTCTGCTCATGCACTCCTGCAGAGCCCCCTCCCCAGCCTGCCCCACCCTGCTTCACCCCCAGCACACACCCTAATCCCATCATCCTTTTCCACAAACACTGCGCTCTCCTGTGCTGCCCCAGCTTGAGCCCACGCCCAGACTTGGTCAGGCAGAGGGACGGGAGCAATGCCACGCCCAGAGCCTCAGCCCCACCGTGCACCCACGCCCTCCGTGGTCCCTCTCCTGTCTCCTGCCCACCTGCTGTCCTCACTTGTCCTCCCCTCACCCCTCAGTCTGCCACTGCCTCTCTTCCCACCACTTCCAGCCTCAATCCCGCCCACTGGGAAATCTCCCCAGCTCCCCTTCATTCAGACTCATTTTCCTGAGCCCCCAGGTGCCCCCTGCACTCCCACAGGCCCTCATGAGCCTACTCACTCGGTTCCAAGGACACAGCCATCAATCTGCAGCAGACGCGGGTCTCCCTCCCTCGTCCTGGAATCCCTGCTCGCTCCTTGCTGGCTTCAGAACAGATTGCCTCCCCTGCTCTTCCCCTCCCCCGGCCTCTCCTCCATGTCTCCTGGATCCCGGGCCAGCATCTTCTGTGCTTTCCCGTCCTGTGGTCCCTGCGCCCTTTCTTTTACCCAAAAGGGGAATCAGAGAGAGAGGATGCTTGGAAGAAAGTTCACAGAATCCAAATGCTTCTTTCTGAAACTCAGCCGGTGCTGAGGCTGCAGGGATATGTGGCTTCCGCCAGAGCCAGGTCTTCCCCTTCCTCCCCCCTTCCCTCTCTCTCTCCCCCTCCCTGCATCCCTCTCCCTCCTCTCTCCCTTTTTCGCTCCCCTTTTTTTCCTCGAGGGCCAGGTACTGACGTTTCACTGTCTCTTAGCAACTGCCTCCACATCTCTGAGCAACAGGAGAACTGGCTATGGACCCCACCACCACGGGAGCGGAGGGAAGGATGTACTCCGCAGAATTCACGGCCACCCGCAAGATCCTGGGGACAGGGCAGGGGGAGGAAGGCAAGAGGAGGGTAGGCCGGCCTGGACAGGGACAGGGGCAGGGGAGCAGGCAGGCAGAGAGAGAAAAAGGGCCCAGCAGGGAGGTTGGAGTAGGGGCCCAGGCGAGGATCTGGAATTGTAGATGGAGGAGGGAGAGCTTACGGGCATCCGACCCAGAAGGGGAAAATGAGAGGGCTTGGAATGGGAAGAGGACTTAGTTGGCGAGGGGTGCAAAATGCGGGGCATTGAAGGCATGAATAAGGATGGAAAGAAAGAAAAGGAGTACATGTAACAAGTTTGCTCACTTTTTAAAAATTAGAGACACTTTACCTTTTTAAACAGAATTTTTGCTTCAAAATATCAGGGGTACAAGTGCCCTTGTTACATGGATGAATTGTATAATGCTGCAGTCAGGGCTTTTAGTGTGCCCGTCACCAGAATAGTGTACATTATACCCGATAGGTAAGTGTTTATCTCTTCCCTCCCTTCCCCTCTCCCCTTCTTAGTTTCCAAAGTCATTTTTTTTTTTTGAGACAGAGTCTTACTCTGTTGCCTGGGCTAGAGTGCCCACCATGCCCAGCTAATATTTTTCTATATATTTTTAGTTGTCTAGCTAATTTCTTTCTATTTTTAGTAGCGACGGGGGTCTCACTATTGCTCATGCTAGTTCTTGAACTCCTGACCTCGAATGATCCTCCCACCTCGGCCTCCCAGAGTGCTTGGATTACAGGCATGAGCCACTGTACCCAGCCCCCGGTGTCCTTTATACAACTATATGACTCTGTGTACCCATCGTTTAGGTCCCACTTATTAGTGATAACATGTGGTGGTTGTTTTTCCATTCCTGAGATACTTCACTTAGGATAATGCTCTCCAGTTCCATGCAAGTTGCTACAAATAACGTTATTTCGATCCTTTTCATGACTGAGTAGTACTCCATGGCACACACACACACACACACACACACACCACATTTTCTTCTCATCAACTAATAGGCATTTAGGTTGATTCCATATCCAAGTCTGCTCACTTGATGGGATATATCTATTCCACTGCTGTAGGACATCTGTTTCCCTGGGTCTGAATGTATTTTGGACTCTGGGTACCAGGTGACCAGCTCAGGGCTTGTTAGGGATAATTATAGGAGGCATCTCTTTTTTTCTGTTCCTTGGTTGTCCCTAAGTCCTCACCACATGAACTCTCGGGGCTAGGAAGCTTGGCTGGAGTGGATCAATTTCCCCTGGGCTTGGGATCTGAGAGCCTCTGGGATCCAAAGGGCCAACTGCCTTACCAGGCAGGGGTGCCGGGGCTCTCCAGATACTTGGATCTGGATCTAGGGGAGTGGAAGCCTGTGTTCCTCTCTTCTTTCTCCAGGATCTGCGTACTCCATCTGTTGTCCTGTCCCCATCCGTCCAACCTTCCTGTTCCCTCCACACTCTTACAATGACTTCAGATAAGGGCAAAATCTTTGCAACATCTCTTTTCCTTGCTGGCCCATTGAACAAATCTCTAGCTGTGCTGCATTTTTAAAACTGGCTTAGGGGGGAAATGGGCATTTATTGAAACCTTAAAATCTGTACCCCCATAATATGCCGAAATAAAAAAAAATGAAAAAAGAAAAAAAAACAAAAAAACAAAACAAAACTGGCTTAATCAGATGGTTTGATCAAAGAGCCGGATTATTTCTTTGTTTCAATAAATACTTATTGAGCATTCACCATGTGCTGGTACTTGGCCAGTTAGTGGGCTTACCGCCTCCAGGAAGATAGATGTAGGCTCTTCCTTCATGGAGCTGGTACTGGGACTGTGTTTTCACTTAGTGAACCTCGTATATTTAAATAGTATCTTAGGTTTTTGGAGGAACCAAAATGGAATGGTAGAAAACAAAAAGTGTGAAGTTAAAACAGATTCTGGGCATTTATTAAGTTCTCAAAATCATTGACAATGTCTTCTTTAATGTGATTCTTTTTCCTATAAGTCTGCTTTCCTTCTGTGTTCTCTCATATTATGGTCATTTCGAATCTTTCATGTTCCATAATGTCTAGTGCAGAGTAACATGGTAGCCACTTCATAAATTTTTATGTATTGAATTGACTGAGGCAAATGTAATTTTTACCCAGCCCCTTAAAGAAGGGAATGTTTGCCCAATCTCATTTATGAGTTTAGAAATAAAATATTAATCTTAACCCAGAAAACACAACAACACAAAAAAAGTAATCCATTACAACTGAGGACTATTGGCCTCAGGAAAGCAAAGTTAGCATTGTACTTTATTATAATAACATTAACTGAAAAGTGATAGAAAACGTAATCATCTTAATAGAGGCTAAGGAAGGTATTCAGCATAATTTGATAGTTAATGTTGACTAAAGGTACCTTGAAAAACAAATAAAAAAGAATGGAAATTTTCTTTCTTTACATGATATGAAGTTTATATTCACAATTAGACTCAATAATATGACTAAAAGAAAATATTAGTGACAGTTTCCTTAACAAAAAGGCTCTAGGCAAGAAGAATGCCTTGCCATCATTTGAAACGTCAGTTTTCTGACCTGTAAAATAAGGATAATGACACCTAACTCATGGGGATTTTTTAGGTACCTGAGTTGTTCTTAAGAAACACTTAGAACAGTATACAGCAAGCACTAAAAATGGGTTTGTTAAATGAGCAAATAAAGTAAAACAAAATAAACAAGCAGCAGAGTATAAAATTGCTGAAATTGTTATGCAAAAAGAAAGACAAATTGCACAAAGAAGGAAAAGTGAAGAAAGGAAAATATTACATTTGCAGATGATTTGAATGCATTCTTATGCAAAATAAGTTGTAAAACCTTTGGAAAACCCCAATTCAAGAATATTATCATTGCATATAATATCTTCTGTAAAAGTGAGGTTCAATGGGGCAGAAATAATTTAAATGACTTTTTACCTTTAATCATTCTATGAATCATTATGAGCCTCTATGAATGCCAAACTAGTGTCTCACGGAACACTATGTGCTGTGAGAAAGCAGTTCTTGAATAAGTTTGAGAAACTCTGAGTTAAACAAAATAACATGAATTTATTAATTGCAAGATTTCCCAGAGGCTTTAATGTGCAAGTGACCATGGTCAGTCCGCAAGTGACAGCACTGGGGAGTGAGGGTTATATAATCGCCAGCAATTCCTAAACTTATTTGGGATCTCCATCTTACTATCTTCTGCTCCCTCTCCCCCTTCCCTTCCTCCTCTTCCTCCTTTTTGTCAGAACTGTTAATATTGGGAACAGTTTTCAGTAGAGCATGGTTGGGAAAATACTAAACTAAAATTTATGATAGATTATCCCTTGCTTAAGAGTCTTCACTCTAGTATTAGCAGTTGGCTTCTGTGGAGTTCATTTTACCTTTTTTTTTTCACAAAGAAATAAAACATATACTTTATGAAAGTATTCCATATATAGATAGCAATAAATCCATGTGGAGACATCTGTGCCAGGTGGTTAGCTGTTCCCCTTTGCAAAATGACTTTCTACTGAACGGCTTTCTTGCAGTGGGAGTGATTCAATTTTGAACCCCAGCAAAATGATAAATGGTTACATACCATGACATTTTGGGGTCTCTTGCAAGTTATTGAAACTGTGATTGCTCCATCCATGAATGTCAAGGTTTTGCTCTACTGGGAAAACACACAGAAATCAATCATAAAGTGGTAGAAGCTGAAGCAAGTTGAAAAATCATTTTCATTATTATGATTTCCTGAATACATGCTAAATTAGTTGTAACCGTGACAGAAAACCATTAAATACATGAGAATTAATTTAATCTACCACATAAGAAATTTATTCAAGGAAAATTATGAAACCTTAATGGAATGAGGACAGAGGAAGAAATGGAAAGCTAATCTCTCTAGTTGCTGGAAATGTCTAAAAATAAGAAAGATGAATTTGCTTGCTTTATTATCACAACTCAATGAAGTAGTTAACAAAATCTGGTGAACTGGTAGCGAAAGCCATCCGGGGGGAAAAACTGGCAAGAACACACTGATCATGTTAATTAGATGATGATGACGACGATGATGATGATGACAATGATGACTGGAAATACTTAAAAGGAATGATGATGGACTTGCTAAAAGATTAAAAAATATATTTGCAAACTGAAAATCACTCCATGGCAATACTCAATATTTGTGCTTTGAAAAATGACCATAGGATAGACTATATACCTTCTGGAAAGTGATTCTCACTATTAGAATGTAGGATATGAAAAATGGGAAATAAAACAACGATGTTGAAAGTAATCTCAAAATAAGAATTGTTATTGAGACATTAGCTCCACGCTTCATTTTTCTATATTGAAAAAAAAAAATCCCCAATGGTCCAGTGAAAGAACTAAACAATAACAAAATACAAATCAGGAAGAGAACGGAATAGACTTTTATCCTAGCTGTGGAGAAGAGGTAATTTTCTGTGTGTTGAGGAAATGGCCAAGGTCATTAGCGGCAAGGTGGCTCTTGTCAAACACATAACATTAAAAGGCAACAAGGTTTCACTGAGCAAACAGTGATGCAGTCAGAGAGAAAGGAAAGAAAGTCAATGGAAAAATAGATTTTAGACACGAATTATTTCAAATAATAAGTGCAAAATACATTAAGAAATGCTGCACATTCTTAAAAATTGATACAATGGGTACAATTCTCTCTGATGCGAATACAGAAAATACAACATTGTGGTAGGTAAAATTCTAAGATGGTCCTTGTGGTGGATAGAATGGTGGTCCC